CACTGTGAGTCTGTTCACACACACACTTCTCTCTCCCTGAATGAGGTGGAGTGTGTTTTATTGTGTTTCATTTTCTACTGCTAGGGGAGCATCTCTTTCTCTCGCCTCCTGGTCTTTCACATTTACATGAGCTGTTCATGTCAGGAGCCTTTGAATGTGTTGGCAATGCAGCTCTGAATGTTTAATTAGTTATTTTTTTGCTTGTCATGTTTTTTTTCTGAGGCATCTATGTTGTGAATAAGACCATATAAACTTGACAGCATAAATATGTATTTATTTTTGTTATTCAAAATACTTTTCAGAGCATTAAAACAAACCACAAAATACACAAAAATTGATGATTTTCATATTTATGTGTAAGTGTATTGTGTTGTGTATTTGTGATTAAATGCTAATGTTTGAGAGCACACATTCTTTATTGAAATGCACATTTTGACAGTGTTTTTGACCATGCTTAAAAAACACAATTTTACTTTTAAATCTTAGCAGGGGTGATGATGATATTAAATATGCTAAATGAAAACCACGGTCTTGAAAATGGTCTTGATGTTTTCTGGTCTTGGTCTCGACTTGGCCTTGCCTCCCTAAAAGTTCTGGTCTTGGCTCAGTCTTGACCTCCCCAAAGTCTCCATGTCTTGCTGACATCAGAGCACAGATAAACCATCATCACCTCTAATTAAATCTCTTAAAGCTTCTTTTCTTCCACACTAGTCGTATCGTCCACCATGACATCACTGTTCAGCTTGGATCATCCACACTATCTCCATCATGGTCACCAAGGATACTGGGGGTAATGATAAATGACCAGCTGTCCTTTACTGAGCATATAGCAGCACTCTCTCTGTCTTGAAGATTCACCCTGTATAAGATTAAGAAGTACACTACATAGTCAAAAGTATGTGGACACCCCATTAATTAGAGGAATTGGCTAATTAAGCTATACCCATTGCTGACACAGGTGTATAATTAAACACACAGCCATGGAAATCCAGGAGCACAACAGTAGTAGAATGAGTAGCTGTACAAAAGAAGTTAGTGACTTTCCACTTGGGGCCATCATACGACACCGTCTTGCCGACAATTCAGTTTGCTAAGTTTGCTAAGAGCTGCCCTGATCAACTACAAGTGATGTGGAAACATCTGAAAGTTCAGCTGTGAAGTGGAAGGATACAGAAGGTCCCAGAAAGGCATCTGATCAACAGACATCAATTCCCAACCTGAAATGCAACAAATCCCACCTGCAATGATCCAGTATCTAATGGAAACTCTTCCCAGAACATTAGATGCTATTACAGCAACAACTGTTGGACCAACTATACATTGAAACCTTTGGTTTGGGAATGAGATCTTAGACAAGCTGTTGTCCACATACTTTTGGCCATATAGTGTATTTGTATGACTATGTATCTCCAGGCATCTTACCTGTATGTGTACGTTGTGTGATTTCAAAAATTAAAATAAAGCGCAGCAGGAAGAGAGTAACCATGTTAAAATATTGATATGCTCTTTCACTACTCAGGGATTCATCTTGGGAGAGATGGCCACAGTGTCACAA